TAAATTAACATGTTGTAAATCCAGCGTCCTTCCACTAACATAGTGGCACCCATGATCATTATTAATCTGTGAAATGGAAATGGATGCGTTTATATCATAATATGCGTTTATCAGAATATGATATTTTCTAATATATTTAGGATGTTAATCAATGTTTGCATAAAATGACAAAAGTGAGAAAATTATATACATAAATCTTCAGGGCTGCAATGTCACATGATAAACTTGATGCATCGTCATGGAAGTCTCAAAGTGAGAAGTTTTCAATTATCGTCAGATTAATAAAACATTTAGTGGAGGTCAGAGAAAGATTTAGAACTTGTGTTTGTGAAAGGATGAGCTAAAAATCATTCTGTATTGTATTAGATGTGCTAACACATTAGCCCTGCTCTAAATTAAGCCTATGCTCTCAGATTGACAGATACTATATGTGGTAGTAGGGTTGCACGGTTTACCGGTACTATGGTAGCATCACGATACTGTGGCTTCAAAATACTGGCAGTGCCACTGTAGTTTGTAAACGGTAGTATCTTCATTACCGATCTATCTATATTATGTAGTGTTGCTTGTAAAAGTGATTAATGCTCACACTTATGTGCAACAATAGACCATTTTATTTGAATAGTCTGTGAAGCCCCTTAAGGTTGCATGTTTTTTAACATTTCAAACGCACACCTGAATTGGTTCATTCTGTTTCTGGCAATATGATTTAATAGCTACAGCAACCGCAGCAATCTCTTAAAAACAACTTAATCTCTTAAAAAAATAATTTTAATTACTTTGGATTGTTCCCTGATAAGGCTGAAAAAAATAAATAAATAAATGGGAAAACCCAAAATATTAATATTTGAACAACTTTTGACCACTTATATTTTTCATCACTTTCATAATTTTTTTTTTTGAAAAATGCTCTTTTCGTAACAAATTCCATTTTGTTTATTTGTATCTTTATTCTAATGTATTTTTTGTTGATCAGTTATCTACAAAATAAACAAAGTATAAATAAATTTTAGGTGAAATAGTGTGCAAATAATACTTATTTCTTTAATTGAAATTAAATTCATTTAATCATCTTCATTTAATGAAACTCAAGTAGACCTATTATAACATATAAAATATAGTATTTATGAAAATTTTCCTTATAATTTGAGTTATGAATTGAAGTATGGCATTACTATATGGTATCGTGATACTTCAGCTGGTATAGTATTTTAAGGTGAATTAATGGTATCGCGACAACTCTAACATGTGGTGTTCCAAAAAGATTTCTTTTTGAAGATTTAAGGTAAAATCTTAGATCAGTCGTATAAATCTGTACAAATTTTAGTCATTGCTAATCTTCTTTTGATAATTTGTTTACAGATGCAGATCTTCGTCAAGACCCTTACTGGTAAGACCATCACCCTTGAGGTCGAGCCAAGTGACACCATTGAGAATGTCAAGGCTAAAATCCAGGACAAAGAAGGCATTCCCCCTGACCAGCAGAGGTTGATCTTTGCCGGCAAACAGCTAGAAGATGGCCGCACCCTGTCCGACTACAACATCCAGAAAGAGTCCACATTGCATCTGGTGTTGCGTCTCAGGGGAGGCATGCAGATCTTCGTAAAGACCTTGACAGGAAAGACCATCACCCTCGAGGTAGAGCCAAGCGACACCATTGAAAACGTCAAGGCCAAAATCCAAGACAAAGAAGGCATTCCCCCTGACCAGCAGAGGTTGATCTTTGCTGGAAAACAGCTAGAAGATGGCCGCACCCTGTCTGACTACAACATCCAGAAAGAGTCCACATTGCATCTGGTGCTGCGTCTCAGGGGAGGCATGCAGATCTTCGTCAAGACCCTTACTGGTAAGACCATCACCCTTGAGGTCGAGCCAAGTGACACCATTGAGAATGTCAAGGCTAAAATCCAGGACAAAGAAGGCATTCCCCCTGACCAGCAGAGGTTGATCTTTGCCGGCAAACAGCTAGAAGATGGCCGCACCCTGTCCGACTACAACATCCAGAAAGAGTCCACCTTGCATCTGGTGCTGCGTCTCAGGGGAGGCATGCAGATCTTCGTAAAGACCTTGACAGGAAAGACCATCACCCTCGAGGTAGAGCCAAGCGACACCATTGAGAACGTCAAGGCCAAAATCCAGGACAAAGAAGGCATTCCCCCTGACCAGCAGAGGTTGATCTTTGCCGGCAAGCAGCTAGAAGATGGCCGCACCCTCTCCGACTACAACATCCAGAAAGAGTCCACCTTGCATCTGGTGTTGCGTCTCAGGGGAGGCATGCAGATCTTCGTAAAGACCTTGACAGGAAAGACCATCACCCTCGAGGTCGAGCCAAGTGACACCATTGAGAATGTCAAGGCTAAAATCCAGGACAAAGAAGGCATTCCCCCTGACCAGCAGAGGTTGATCTTTGCCGGCAAACAGCTAGAAGATGGCCGCACCCTGTCTGACTACAACATCCAGAAAGAGTCCACCTTGCATCTGGTGCTGCGTCTCAGGGGAGGCATGCAGATCTTCGTAAAGACCTTGACAGGAAAGACCATCACCCTCGAGGTAGAGCCAAGCGACACCATTGAGAACGTCAAGGCCAAAATCCAGGACAAAGAAGGCATTCCCCCTGACCAGCAGAGGTTGATCTTTGCTGGCAAACAGCTGGAAGATGGCCGCACCTTGTCTGACTACAACATCCAGAAAGAGTCCACATTGCATCTGGTGTTGCGTCTCAGAGGTGGTACAAAAATTTGAACTGGCAGTCTCAGAAATGGACAGTTAATTATTATAGTATTTTTCACACATGCGCTCACCTTTTTTCTCTATCCCCATGCTTTGTTACTGAGTGAAATCACATTTTATGAACATCTTTTTCCACCTTGTTTATCTTAATGACAAAATAAAGGCATTGAAATGTATTTTGTTTAATTGTATTCTTTGTGTGATTGCGAAACTAGCAACATTGTTAATTAACATTTACGTTCATTTAAAATTCATGGTTGTATTCATAAATGAAGAGTAAAGTTTCTAGGATTTTAAGCAAAAGTAGTAGTTTCTTATAGATCTTCTGTAGGCTTTGAGTTTTGTAACCTTATGAAACAAATACTTTTTGAGCCATGCGTTAGTGTTGATCCAGATTTCATAATTATTTATCAAATACCTGTATGACTGCTGATTTGATGTTGATCTAGAGAAAACGGCTGAAACCCTGAGGTGGGACTGTTGAAGAGTAAGAGGCTCGCTGTCTTTCCAATTAACGAACCGTGTGTTCCAAGTATTCTACTTGATATGCTTGAAGAAATTCCAAACTGACATTTAAATATAAATGTCTTTTAATTTCTTAACGCTAGTTATTTGTCATTATTTAAATACCCACAATTTTGATGTTGGATATTTCAACCAGACCACCAAATAAGTCATGGTCATTTGTAGTCCACAAGTTCCAATAATTAATATTAGCATTGTTCTAAATTTTCTAAATCTGATTAGGTTTCTGAGGTGTTAATTCTAGTTTTAATAATACAACAATTGTATAATAAACAAATATCCCAATACTGTACAAATATTTTTACAACTTTATTCATTATACCACACAGTATGTTGCATTTATTAACAAGAGTTGTAAATATTGTAATGTATAGAGTGGAATACACTTCACTGTAGTATTTACTATAAAAATTATTTTAATACAAATTATCTTTTCATGTGGACACCCACCAAAATGGCAACAATACACATCACATTTGAAGTTCATCTGATGGTGGGCTTTAGTCCTCTTTTAAAACGTCTGGATAACGCTTTTTTTTTTTACTGAAGATAGTTGTTTTGGACATACAGATTTATTCCCCACAGTGACCAATTTTAAGTTTCGCTAGAGAAAAAAATAAAAGTCTAAATTTTATTGTCTAGTATTCTGTAAATTGTAGTGACGCATCAAAGGAGTAAAAATCTAAAGTTTTTTAATGTGCACAAGAAAACTCAGGACATAAACTGAAAATACAACACAAGCTCATACATATAACAAACTTAACCTAAAAAGATCATAAAAGTGAGAAAAGGTTACTCCTCATTTAGTAACTAGTTTTTTTATTTGTTTTCCAATATTGGGGTCAATTCCTTACAGTGATATAGTTTTAATAATACAACGATGATAATGAAGAACTAGTGCTGTAGAACTAGAAATCAGACCACTACTTTTTTAGTCAGTTATCGATGTCCATCTGAAACCTTTTACTTAACGCTTAATAAAAGTGTTTTATTGTAGCATTTTTTTCATGTCAGAAACATGGCTGTTTTTGACAGTATGGGCACTGATTCCTGAATTAACACTGATTGCTTTGTTGTCCATTTCGGCCTATGTATTTTATGACTGTGACTCTCATGTTCAAACTTAGTAAGAGATTTGCATCAGGGAAAATTAACAACAGTTTGCTTACAAGAGAAGCTTGTTAGAGTCATAAAATGTTTTCCTAAACCAGCATCACATAGTGAACTAGCCACCATTCTGCAAGAACAATGGCTCAAAATCCCTCTGGCCACTGTGTAGAACCTTTTTCTGTCATTCCCGAGAAGAATTAATTCTGTATTGGCCACAAAAGTAGGCCCTACACCATCCAAATCAGTTATTTTGATCTAAAATCAGGGGTTTCAGTTTTATTATCCAACCCCTTTATATTAAAGCACTTTGGAAACCTGTAACCACTGACTTACATTGTTTTTATTTTTTTCACGTAAATGTAAAAGTAAATTTTCTTTTTGGGGTGATTTCTTTTTTGTGAGATTTGGATTTGTATACTGGTTTGTTGATTTGCAAAGTGCTGCTTACAATATTAATCATAATGAAACCTGAAATAATAAATAAATAATGAAAGTTTGGAGTTTTGATTTTTAGTTTTAGTGATACCTGCACAGAACTGTGTTGTAAAATCTTCATAAACTATTTTATTACTCTTACTATCAGAATACAAGAACCACTGTAAAGAGATGGAGAGAGAGAGAGAGAGAGAGAGGTGTCATTTAAATATAAAAGTTTTATTTGACACTATAGTTGTGTGCGACAAAAGTACATTTAAACAGTAGATTATAAAACTACATATGACACATTGTTCAGTTTCCTGTAAAAAAGCATTTTCAAAATTCAGTGGTCTGATAAAAATAAAATTAAATAATAATAATAATCAGCTTAAAGACTCTTCCCTCTAAATTGAGCTTGTTTGGGCAGTGTATAAATACAGCAGACATGTCAGGAATCATTTAAAGGCAGTCGGTGCTGATGTTGATGAAGTCATGGAGCTCTTCACTGTGCCAGTTGTTGTACTGTGTGGCACAGACTGCTGCATCCTGCAAACACAAGAAACAATTCATTAATTATTTTAGTTAGAAGCCTGTTTTGTTTGAGTGTGGTGAATATATCTGTGAAGCAGACATAAATATACTTAAGCAGAAATTCTCACCTTTTCCCAATAGCCTTTAAGACGACATTTTTGGTGAATTTTGAGTCTGGATTCAAGCATTTCTGTCCTGCACCGTTTTTCAGAGTCACACTGTGAAAGATCAAAAGAGATGCAGATATTACATGAAGCTGATAAACTTAACTAAATGAAATCACTTTATACTAAAGTTCTGCTATAAACTTACACAATCTCATGTTTGTTGCAAGATGGACTCGGAGGGAAGATTTCCACCTTCTCAAGATTCTTCAGTAAGACCATGTTTAGACCTTTGTCTACACAGAAGCATCTGGCTCTTGAAGATCTGTCCTGACCTGGAAAAGAGGTGTCATAATTAACTTCAAAACCTCAGCGTGAGCAAAGATACATGAGCTGAATGATCTTGATGTGTTTTTGAAACTCACCATTGACCTCTCCAGCGATCAGGCAGGACAGAAGAAGAAAAGCTGCAAGAGTCTTCATGGTCTTCTTGTTCTTGTTCTGGATGAACTGAGCTCGTCTGGGTCAGTCAGATTATAACTGAAGAACAGAAGTAGCTCACTTAAATACTGGAGCATCGGGGGCTTCCCTTCAGTTTTACTTCCCATTTGTGCTCCAACTTCCTCTGCTTTTTCTCTTTTTATTATGATTTCTCAGAAACACCAACCTGAACCTTCTTGAAGAGAGGCTATATGATTTAGTGAACCCTGAGCTGAACTTTCCCTGAATTCTCTATAATCTTCGTGTGTATTTTGCTTTGGAGGAAACTATCATAAGCCAAAGTATAGTGAAAAACCTGCATCAATCTGATAATAATAATATCTAGTTATTAAGATACCCAGTTGATCGATTACATTAAGAATTCCAAACGAGTTTGTTATATGCACAATATATACATATATATACACATTATACACGCTAATTTGCGGGTAGTTTTAGCTAAAAATTCTGGACACGGGTGAATTTAGATGTTTTAAACCGTAAATGCTTAGAGAATTATTTTGGGTAGAATAAAATAATTGTATTGAAGTGTTGTGTTAAAGTGTATTTTAATTTTTCAGTGCAGGAAAAAAAATTGTAAAATGGGCTTTAAAAATATTAACTATAACTGATAGCACACTGTAAATATGGGTCAAAAGCGTTTTTAATTAGATTTAAAAATTTGGGTTGAAATTATTCAGCATTTAAGGCATTAAAAACACATTTAGGAAGGTTTCTTTCCATCAATCTGAAAAAACTTTGGAGCAACTCATAATGTAATAATAACTACATGTACTAATAACCTAGAAATTATTACATGATTATTGTAATAAAAAATAGATCTTATGTTATAGTAACAATTATTACCTTATGAGAAACAAATTACATTAGAAATTCAGCAAACATATTGTCGCATCTGTGATATCTTTTAAAAATAAAAAAATATTTAAATGTTTGTTTAAACTACCTACATTGAACATTTCAGGGTAGCAATGATTAGCTACATGCTAATAATATTTAGTTATGTGCTACAGCTTCATATCCATATGAAGTAACATTGAGCCAAAGGCTGAAAATATACTAAAAACAACTGTTATGTTCATCATGTTGATTAGCATATTGCTAGCATGTCATCATTCCAACTACATGCTAATTGCGTTAGCATCATACTAGCTTCATGGTAATTGTTTTGACATAATATTAACAACATGTGAGGGTGGCTCGGTGGCTCAGTGATTATCACTGACGCCTCACAGCAAGAAGGTCGCTCGTTCGACTGCCTGGGCTGGACATTTCTGTGTGAAGTTTGCATGTTCTCCCCCCATGCTTGCGTGAGTTTCCTCCTGGTGCTCTGGTTTCCTCCCACAGTCCAAAGACATGCAATACTATTGGGTAAGCTAAATAGGATACTGTGTATGAGTGTGTTTGTGAATGAGTGTGTATGGATGTTTCTCAGTAATGGTTGCGGCTGGAAGGGCATCTGCCGCATAAAACATTTGCTGGAATAGTTGGCGGTTCATTCCACTGTGGTGACCTGTGATAAATCATAGACTAAGATGAAGGAAAATTAATGAATGAATTAACAACATGCATCATCTAGTAAGCATCATGCAAGCAACATGGTGAACAAAGGTGAATTGAATAAGCTTAATTGGCCATAGTGTATGGGTGTTTTCCAGTGTTGGAAAGGGCATCTTCCGCGTAAAAATATATGCTGGATAATTTGGCAGTTCATTCTGCTGTGGCGACCACAGATTAAAAAAGGGACTAGCTAAAAAGAAAATGAATGAATATTACCCTATGATCTATGATGACATTATAAGTTGGCAAAGTGTTTTTATAATGTAAGACATTTCTCATACAGCAACCTTAATTGTTTCTAATTAATAAATTATAAACTCTCCATTACAATTATAATTTAGTCCTTATTAGATTATTTTTAGTTTTTACAGCACATGCAGTTATGACAATATGAGTTGCTTCAAGCCTTTTGTGAAAAGCCAAAAACTGCAAAATCTTGCCAAAATTGACCGGTGCGTGTCTACAGCGTCTCACTGATTTCTGTGACATTTATTGGTCATATTTTTTATAATTTTTAAAAATCACATACATTTTGTGCACACAATAAAGAAAGAGCGAACATGTACAATAGGCACAATAGAGCAATTTGCCACCTTTAATAAAGCAATGGATATCATCCTCTAAAAAGAACTGAAACCAAATTTTATTACCCAGATCAGAGGGATCTTCAAAAGTGGCAGAGATTAGCCGGATTTGCTGGTTTTATTGTAAATGTTGGATTTATTTAGCACAGCCATTAAGAAACCACAAACTAGGATGTGGGGCCACGCGAGTGCTTTTCTGTGGAAGAAGGTCAAATCATTTTCACTTCCTCTTTATTTTCATAAGTCACTATAAACAGTTTAATATTGAAATGCTTACATGAATTTTGGTCACAAATGTGTGAGTAATGTGTCCAGTATGAATTATAGTTTCATTTTAAGCACTTCTGGGTCACGTTGATGAGTTTGTTTATTTTGAATAGTGAACCAAACATTTAGGAATCATGGTTCTTACTTTACAATAAATTTTCATTAATGCTAGCTGATGTGTCTAATAACATGAAGTAGTAATGAATATCATGTGCACCTCAACTCTCCTGTTTCCACCAAAACTGTTTACCGGGAGCTCCACAGTGTCAATATATATATATGGCCGGGCTGCTATAGCCAAACCTTTGGTCCCTTGTGCCAATGCCAAACATCGGTTTCAATGGTGCCAGCCGCAAAAATCTTGGGCTGTGGACATCGTGAAACATGTATTGTTCTCTGATGAGTCCACCTTCACTGTCTTGCATCTGCGGGAGTTACGATTGTGGAGAAGCTCCAAAGAAGCTGCTACCCAGACTGTTGCATACCCAGAAAGAAGCATAGGGGGAAATCATTTTTTCTGGCTGCAATATCATGGCATTCCCTAGGTCCAATACTTGTCCAAGATGGGCACGTCACAGTTGAGAGCTACCGAGCCATTCTGGAGGACCATGTGCACCCACTGGGTCAAACATTATGTCCTGAAGGCAGTGCCATGTATCAGTATGATAATGCATCAACACACACAGCAAGACTGGTGACAGGGTGCACTGTAAAAATAAATGTTGTTTCAACTTAAAATTTGCAAAAAAGTAAGTGTCAGTGCTGGGCGCAGCAGTGGTGCAGTAGGTAGTGCTGTCGCCTCACAGCAAGAAGGCCGCTGGTTCAAGCCTTAGCTCAGTTGACGTTTCTGTGTGGAGCTGGCATGTTCTCCCTACGTTCACGTGGGTTTCCTTCGGGTGCTCCGGTTTCCCCCTACAGTCCAAAGACATGCGGTACAGGTGAATTAGGTAAGTTAAATTGTCTGTAGTGTATGAGTGAGAATGTGTGTGTGGATGTTTCCCAGATGCGTTGCGGCTGGAAGGGCATCCGCTGCGTAAAAACTTGATGGATAAGTTGGCGGTTAATTCCGCTGTGGCGATCCTGGATTGATAAAGGGACTAAGCCGACAAGAAAATGAATGAATGAATGGTGTCAGTGCTGCCTTAACATTTTAAGATCACTTCACTTTAATAGTGAAGTTGTCTTAACTCTGGATAAAGTTGACAGAACTTGACTGTAACGGATGAACGCTAGACAACAGAGTTTTCGGATGCACATGAAATTTATTAAACACAGGATGGTCAGGCAGGCAATGGTCTAACAGGTACAAACAGTGTCATAGGGGTAATTCAGAAGCATAGTCAAAGTCGCAGGTGAAGAGGTCAATACAGGTAATAAATCAATATCAACGGAAAAGACAAAGAAATGCTTCATGGTGTTACAGACTAACAAGACTCAGCCCAGAAGTGTGTGCTGTGTTTATAGTCCTTGTAATCAAAGAGAATGACCTTCACCTGTGTATGTGTGTGTGTTATCAGTCCAGATAGGTCACAGCTGTAGCAGGAGTTGATTATCAAAAAGCATCTTGGTAGATGTAGTTCATGTGGTGGCAGATGTGTAGTTTTCCAGCGATCTGCATAAGTTAGATCGCTGGTGATTGTGACAGCCTTATACATTATGGCAAATTTTGTTTATTCAATTCACTTATACCACATGCACCCAGAGGAAACCCAAGTAAACACATGGAGAACATGCAAACTCCATACAGAGACGCCAGCTGGTCCAGCAGGGACTCAAACTAGCAACCTTCTTGCAGTGAGGCGACAGTGTCAATCACTGAGCCACCGTGGACCTTGTACATTTTGGATCATGGTTTATTTAAACCAAATACAAATAATACTAAAAAATAACACAAATAATACTAGAAACAGGTTTTTGAAATATGCAAATACAAATTTTACCAAAAAAGCAGGTATCTGAAAAGATCCTCAGACAAACACACACTACAACATTAGAATGAGAAAAAGCACAGCCAAGTAAAACGTTGATTTATAAGTTATTTCAACACATTTGATCCAGATAAGTTAACATAACTCAAAACATTAAGTTGTCATAACAAATTGGCACAATAATTTTTACAGTGTGGTTTTATGATCTTGAAAGTGAAGTTAAACATCTCCTGTGGCCTGCACTGTCTCCAGATCTGTATTTTATTAAGTCATTTTGTGTTTTGGAGGAGCAAGTCAGGAAATGTTTTCCTCCACCAGCATCATGTGGTGAACTGGCCAATATTCTGCAAGAACAATGGCTCAAAATTCCTCTGGCCATTGTGCAGAACTTGTTTCTGTCATTCCCAAGACTAAGTGATGCTGTATTGACCACAAAAGTAGGCCCTACACCATACTAATGAGTTATTGTGGTCTAAAATCAGGTGTTTCAGTTTCATTACCCAACCCCTTTATATTAAAAAATGTTGGAAACCTGTAACCACTGACTTCTATAATATTTCTTTTTTCAAGTAAATGGAAAAGTACATTTTCATTTTGGGATGAACATTTTCAATACATTTTCACTTTGAAATGTATTGCAAAGTGTTGTTTAAAATTTTAATTATAATGAAACCTGAAATAATAATGAAATATTGAAAGTTTGGAGTTTTGATTTCTTGTTTTAGTGATACCCGCAGAGAACTGTGTTGTAAAATCTTCATAAACTA